CAGCAGAGCGAGGAGGCATCGCCCCAGGAGCAGCAGAGGGCTCCCCCGGTCGCGGGAGGCTTCAACGGCAACAAAGCCCCCGGGCTGAAGTACGAGGAGATTGACTGTCTGATCAATGACGAGCACACCGTTAAAGGGAGGAGGGAAGGCAACGAGGTCTTCCTGCCGTTCAGCTGGGTAGAGAAATACTTTGAGGTTTATGGGAAAATTGCTCAGTACGATGGTTATGACAGGTTTGAATTCTCTCATAGCTACTCCAAAGTATACACACAGCGAGCACCTTACCACCCCGACGGGGTCTTCATGTCCTTCGAGGGCTACAACGTAGAGGTTCGAGACAGAGTGAAGTGTATAAGCGGCGTCGAAGGTTTGTGTGGAGTATTTTATTTTATTTTTAAGAGTTCAAGTGCGTCGTAAAATTTACTGCCGTCATCTGAGCTGCAAAATGATCTTAAATTTGTTGTGATAGTCGTGGTAAAAACCCACTTACTCTGAGAAGGGACGCGCAGGCTCTGCTTCGTGCTGAGTTTTCCTGGCGCCCCTCCTGCATCTCTGGTTTTACTGGTTGCAGCATTTAGACTGAACATTAGGAAAGAATTTTTCCACGGAAAGAGTAGTCGGGCACTGGAATAGGCTGCCCGGGGAGGGGGTTGAGTCCCCATCCCGGGATGTGTTTAAGAGCCGTTTAGATGTGGTGTTGGGGGATATGGTGTAGGGGAGAACTTTGTAGAGTAGGGTAGAGGGTTGGACTCGGTGATCCCAAGGGTCTCTTCCAACCGAGACAATTCTATGATTCTAACTCCAGAGGTGCCAGGACGCTTCTCGTACGGTGCTGCAGTCAGGTTTCGGCATTGCCGTTCACACTTGTCATATCTGTCAGGGAGCCACAATTATTAGAAAATATAAAATTAAAAAAAAACAGCCGTCTGAGGAGGCTCCTGCTTCCCGGATAGAGCCAAACCGCACTGCCAGCACCCGGGGAACAGCCCGGCCGCACACAGGCAGCTTTGTCCTCGGGGTTTTGTCTTCAGGTTGAACAATATCCCGTCTCCTGGCGTTCCCGGGGCGGGCAGGGCATCTCCTCGCCTTGGCCCGCCAAGGGAGCTGCTGCCCGCAAGCAAGGCGAGGGGAGGTTTCGGAGAACTGCTGAAGGGTCAAAAAGTTCTCCAGCCATGGAAGCGTCCCGGAATAAAATTAGTATCCAGTAAAACCTTTCCAATTTGCACTTTTACTAAAGCGTGCAATCAGTAATTAGGACGCAAGGTTCTTCCTGCGTCTCGGCAAAGATGTGGTCGCAGAGTATTCTTCTCGAGCTTCATATTAAAAAATTAACAACTTTATAAAATATTACGGAGTGTGACACTGTGACCCCTCATAAATTAAAGGCCAACTTTCATTTAAGGAATAGAATATATTCATTTTCATGCATCTCGGTGATCGGTGATGCTCTGCTGCATTGATATGAGCGCTTCCCATGATATGGTCACCGCAGGAACTGGGCATGTCATGCAATGAATTTGTCTGCAAAGGATTCCCATAAACAAATGCATAGGGTATATCAGGTGTTGTTTTGGGGGGGTTTTGTTTGGTTTTGAGGGCTTTGTTTTTTTTAATGTTACTTTCACATTTCTGTTATTTTCATATTTCTTCTTTTTTTTTTTTCTTAACTCTCATCCCCGTTCCATCTGCCACGGAAGGGACGTGGGGCTCTGAAACTCGGGCCTCTCCGGAAGGTGCGAACGCACCCCGGTAACTGCACATCCTCCACGTGTGAACGTTGCCCTGCTCGGGGTTTACATCCACTGTGAGAGCCCGAGGAGGTGGTTTTCCTTTCTAATTGCTGCAGCCGTTGCTGCTTAAATACGGCGTGTGGATACGAATCCTTGCGGCGGGCGCTGCTTTTGTTGTCGGGGTGTGGGCTTGGTCCGAGGTCTCGAAGCCCCACCACTTTTTGTCCGAAGTGTGGAAGATGCGCGCGGTGCCCCAGGCAACTGGACTCCGCACTTCTTGTGATGTTTTTCAGCAAAAAAAAGCCGAAATTCCGTAAGAACTGATGGAGGATGGGGCCAGATTCTGCAGCCTCTTGCCTTGCCGGGTGTGCGCGCGCGGTGCTGCGCGCCGCCGCTCTCTGCTGGAGCCTGGAGAGCCCGGCGAGCTTAGCGCTCGCCAGTGTGCTTCTTTATCTACGAACCTGGCTTTTTTGCAGCATGTGATTTAAGAGCATTCATTACGAACCGTGGTGCCGGAGCCTGGGTTATCCAGCAAACAGGTCAATTGTCGTTTATAGGGAAGGGGTTTTAATATTAAAACATGTTCTCAGGCAGTTTTAGGCTCCTACCTTGCATCGTTCCAGCCCGAGAGATTCTCATATTGCTGCATGATGAAAAAACCACTCGTGTTGTATTTTCACCTTCTCTCTTTCGGCAAGGTTAATGTGTTGTTCTGTCCTATGACCCGGAGAATTTAATCTTGTCATCTTGTATAAATTTCAAGTAAAGCTCTTACAGCGGATTTCTTTTTTTGCATCTTTCAGTCTCAATGAATTCGCCCTTAACTGAAAATGCTTGGCGTTAATAAGCGAGCTGCCTTCCAGGCGTTGAGATAGTACGTGGTATTTAAATATTTCCCGTGATGGTTTTCTCTTTAGGTAGCAGTAAGCCGTGCCATCTCCATCAGTAATATCTATTAGTAACACTGAGCATCAAAATACGTATGAAAATGTATCTCTTTGCATTTAGTTTAAGTAATCTTTTCGTCGTACCAGATTTCAGCAGAAATTGGTTTCTGAGCTTGACATTGCCAAGGGGGAAAATGGTGCAACCGCCAACTTGTTTATTTTCATCGTCTTTTTTCTTTTCTTACGCAAAGGTTTACAGTACTAAATATCCTTGGTTTTCTGCAAGAGGGTCGCAATGATATTCATTGGGATTCATATTTAGAGGTTGGGTATTTGTTCCAAATAAAATTCCAGACTTTAGGAGAATCCTGGTTTTCTCCGTGTCGTAAGCGTCGCGTGGTTGCTTGCTTATGGAGCCGTGTGTATAAATAAGTCTCCTCCACGCGGCTTGTTTTCATTTCCCACGCAGCCAGTGCTGCAATAGGCAGTTTTTCCACCCAAAACCCGCGGCTGCAGCTCCTGGGAGCTGGTGAAGGGCGGGCAGAGGAGAGCCCGGAGCTCAGCAGGGTTTCCTGCAGGTGCATCTCTGCTGACGATGGTAATGTAGGGTGGAAGTTTTATATGGGGCTCTGTGACATTATCTGAGCTCGTTTGACGGGTTTTGCATGTGAAATGCAATACGTCGGGCTACACAAGATGTTCTCTGTGATCTGCCTGCTTTGAACCCTCTAAAGAGGTGGTGCTCCAGGGGGTTCTTCTGGTCGGGGCAGACTCTTAAATCTAAAATCACCCTAACCCTAAGCGAAGTGTGCTCTCCTGCAAAGCTACCGCTTTTTGGAACAGGGAGTCGTGCGTGGAGGGTTAATCCCAGGGACGGCGGGGCAGGAGCAGTAGCTCTGAAGACAGGGGACAGCTTTGGGTGGAAGAATTGGGGCATATTCTACTGGTGTTGCACGGAGAGCCTGGCTGCTTTCTGCCGGCGTCACTTCAAACTGCGCTTGTAACGCTCTTGGGGGAGCCAGGGTAATTGGAGCAGATTTGTAGGTGCTGGGTAAATTGCTCTTTTGGCATCAAATAGCTCTTCCCAAAATCTAGTAATAATATATACACTAAATTCGCAAAGATTTATGTGGCGTTAAAGGGATTGTGTTAGATGTAACGTCGTTTGGGGATTTAGTGGTCTCTAGGGTAGGGGGGGAAATCTGTTAGGGCATTTTAAATGTATTTTAAAATCAGTATGATGCTTCAGTAAACAATTAAATGAGAATGTATGGAAGACCGTGATAAGGACTTCTCTGCCACTCAAATCTGCTTAGTATTGGTTAGTTACAGGTCTCGGTGTAAATGGGAGCAATTCTGTCCTTGGACGGGATTTTCCTCGTGTCTAAAAATGGTGAAGCCTAGAAATATCATTTGCCAGAAGTGAAGGAGTGATGGGGTATGGAGGAGGAGTGGGTTTTGAAAATGTGCCGATCAAACGCTCCTTTTCTTCCTCTCTCGTAGGTGTGCCGTTATCCACGCAGTGGGGACCTCAAGGCTATTTCTACCCCATCCAGATTGCACAGTACGGGTTGAGTCACTACAGTAAAAACCTGACGGAGAAGCCGCCTCACATCGAGGTGTACGAAACGGCCGAAGAGAAGGACAAAACGGGCAGGTCCGCGGACTGGACGGTGCCGAAGGGCTGCTCCCTGTCCACAGTGTCTGATAAAGCCAAGTTCACTAGCGTCAAACAGTTTGTCGCTCCAGGTGGGTTATCCGAAACGCGTGGCAGCTAAGGCACCTCTGTTAATGTGCACAGCCGGTACCGGGGCAGCTTTAACTTGCTGGGATTAAGTGTAAGGGCAAGTGTAGGGTACTGCATCTGGGGAGGAATAACCCCCCACACCGGTACAGGTTGGGGCTGACCTGCTGGAGAGCAGCTTTGTGCAAGGGACCTGGGAGTGCTGGTGGAC